TCCCGCCTGTCTTGCCCGCCTTCCTGTATGCCAGCAGTCCTGTCCTGCGGCAAGATGCCAGATCCAGATGCAGTGCTCGAAGGCCACGACATCAGCCACGTTCGTGGTGGTAGTACCGGACGACTGTGGCAGAGAGATAGTTCTTGTCACCCGGTTCAGCTAGGCCATTTTGCTCGGGATTACTGAGGGTCCGGATTTTTTTAGCTTCTTCACTTGCCGTTGCTCACATGGTGGACTATCTAAGGACCACAGCGCCAAAGAGCGCAAGCTATGTAAAAGCCCCCAGTCACAGGGCCTCCAAGCCTTTGCAGACTGATATCCAAGCCGCCCTTTGCCAGACCTTGGCGATTGGTGTAGGCAGTTTATAGAAACTTGATACAGATTCCCTTTTGACAAGGTTGCGTGTAGATGTCTCCTAAAACCCCACCTCGCTCAGATACGTACACCCTGTTGCTGCCTGTGAAAAAAAATGCCCATGTGATTTTGACCCGAGAGCTCTAGCTCCTGGAGCCCGCGCTGATTTTTCCACATCCACGTCCACTTTTGAGACTAGCAGAATGCTTGTCTCCCAAAGCCTTTCAAGCATCTCTTCAGCTGATGCACCATGACTTCGTGGCGCTTGGTGCTTGGACTTCTGTGCGTGGGACAAAAGCAGGGGAACACTCCACCGTGGCATCTCAATCTGCCGCTGCCTATCGGCTGCGGAGCACTTATCAGCCACAGGCATCCACTTCCTGGACACTGGATCTTTCTTAGGATATCTTTTCTCTTTTGTGCTCATAGGGTTTCGGCTGATGGCGGGGTGACGGGGATTTGCTTTTTAAAAGCATGCATTAGCTTAATTATGTGAACAATCCGTAGGGATGGCAGCTCAAACCCTAAGCTCGCCTGCTTTGCTATCTAGGGTCCGTGGTCTAAGGACAGATCTGCAGGAAAAGGGGCCGTGCTCTTAGGATCTCCTTCGCACCTAGGCAGGCGTCTCTGTATGACATTTATCAGGTCCTGAGAACAGCCACTGCAGACATGAAAAAAGCGGAGTCCTCCAGTTTGCACATGGATCTCTTGATTTGTCAGGGGAGGCTTGGGGGCTTACTAGGGATTGCATCTGGACACGGATGGTGACGACGACGGCGATGATGATGCTGACGTCGATGATGACGATGATGATGATGGCGGTGATGATCATGACGTTGATGCCGTTTGCGAACGATGACGAGGAACTTGATGCAAGGACGTTGATGGTGAGGAGGATGACAACGATGATAGCAACACAAATTACGCGTGCCGTGCCTCCTCGTCCTTCTATTGAAAACGCTGCCGTGGTTGCTTTCACTGCCACTGCATCCCACACTACTCGACATACTCCTGGTCTGGTCACCGCATAAACCACGCATCCATGGAGCCCTCGCAGTTGTACCTGTAGCAACCGACAGGAGATGAGTCTGCAGAGAGCAGACGTGAGCTGCTCACAGGCAGCTTTTTCTCAGAGTGCTTGAGCTGCGCTTGAAGTACATGGGCCATGTCTATGGCAGTGGTACAGAACTCTGTTTGCGTCTGATTCTCGGGGCCCTAGTTCAACTATCCTCAGGTTGTTTATGCACAACCCCCAATTCTGCCCTCTGAGAAGCTTGCAGGATGAGGATACACGCCCCAGGTTCTGCGCAGAAGAAACACCCATGCTCAAAATATGTTCTGAGCCACCGCGGCCCTAGTTGCATGACAGGCTCTTAATTTGTCGGAATGCTGATGGATGGAAGTTTACCATTTGCCCTTCACCAGAATGTCTGTTGATTGTCCAGTGAGGAGTGGTTAATATCAGGAGCAAGGGCTCACGTCAGCCCAAAACCCGAAACTGTCCAAGTTGGATAAGGAGCGGCAAAACATCCCAGGCTACACTCCATCCTGCTGCAGAATGGAAATCTCACGATCCTGTCTGACAACTGGAGGCAGCCGTCTGATATTCACCTCCGGGAAGGTAGGATCATGTCCCCTTTGCATGTCCCAGAATATTATACTCCTCAGTAGCAGCATACGCAGCAGGGACCCCCCAATTTCATGGAAACTCCCCAATTGTGTATAGGTTCGGCAAGAGCTGCTCCAAGCATTGCGCTGTAAGAGCTCAAGCGCGTAGTCTCTTCATATGCGATTTAGGTAATTTCTGAATCGTCAATGCATGCATGCTATGTACTTTCCTGTTCAACAACGAAAGAGCTTGCATAGGCCATTTCTCTACACACTACATGTGCACAGGTAAGGGAAACCTGAAGCTTGAAGTGCTCATCCCCTCCGCGCTACGAATGAATAACTCCAATTTGGTAGCAATGTATACGTACATACATATTAATGTAGAGACAGCGATTGTTGCCCGCCGCAAGTCTCACTTTCAAGCAGTTGCAGTTCATTCATGACACCGGCTGGGCAAAGCCCAGCAGCAAGACATTGGCAGCTTTTGCTCCTTCACCGTGATGGATGAGGGCAGAAATTTTCAGCCCAGAAGGTGAGGCCCATACAGTGCATGGAGACGATGAATTCAATGACCTTCCAGAGGAAGTGAATGACGAAACGTTCCCGGATCTGGTTCTGGCACCAGAAGTTTGCGAGCATGCAGCAATAACATGGGAGTTGTTCTTAGATCATTATCCATCTCACAGAATGGCTGGGGAGGCCATCTTTACCTCAATTTTCGATGCAAATCCCAGCCTGCAAGTCCTCTTTAAATCGCCTGCCTCGGTGATGGCCTTGAAGTTCGTGAGTGCGTTCGGAGGTGTTTTGGAGCATGCCGGGGATCCAGCAGCCTTGAAGCCGCTAGTCGAGACCCTGGGTTTTCAACATATGGACTTTGACATTAACCGGCAGAAGATCCAAAGCTTCCGCGATGCGATTGTGGATCTTTTGGATATGGATCTCGGAAACACCATGACTTCAAAAGGAAAATATGGCATAGCTGCCCTTATCAATTACATCGGAGGTGCATGCATGTACATACGAAAAGAGTACACTTCTCGTGTGCAGATGATACATACCACCTGGGCACAAGCTACACATGCAGGCCAGACGCAAGACGATGAGGAGAAGCAGGAAACTAATGCGAGACCTTCTGTAGCAGAGGAAGCCGACGAAGGGAATGCTGAGAACGCCCAAGTCACCCAAGGTGCAGGCGAAGCGACTGGCGATGCGCCACCAAGTGTTCCCACAGGTTTCTTTGACGCTTGGACTAAGTACATTGAAGTACCACATCATGACCCTGACTTGCTCGGTTGGGCGGTTTCAAGGATATTAGATTCTAGCCCGTTTGGGGCAATTCACATTCCAGGGGAGGGGAACACAACACAAGGAGAGCTTTAGGCTTCCGTCACCTGCATGATCACTTGATCGTTCAGATAGTTCGCTTTGCCATGTCATTTTTTTGGGCAAGTGCTCTAAAAGCATGGGCTAGCAAGCACAGGAGATGTTTATGTTCAATTGTGCTGTGATGGGCTACAACACCAGCCAGCATTGGATGGACTTAATACTGGAGCAGCTTGACAATATTGCTGCCAAGCTGCATATGGAGAAAAGCAAGGCAGCGTACGGTTTTTTTGTTATCGTTTGGATTCATGCGCAGGTAATGAACATTGCCAACATCAGTCGAGTCCAGGAAGAGTGCAGCACTTTGGCGCTTAGCTTGGACAAGTTCGCGACAGAAGTGGTGTTTGGCGACTTCCGGTCGGTAGCGATGTCTTCGCTGAAGGCGTGTGTACCTGACTGGAATGAGGAGCACGAAGTGGCGTGGATGTGGCTCTGGGGCCACGTGGACAGAATGCTTTCAGAGATCCGTGGCAAGCCTGAAGCGCAGATGAAGCGCCTTACAAAGTTCCTGGACAATCTGTCGGAAGAAGATGCCCAGCGAATTCGGAAAGGTGTCCACGCACAGTTCTTTGAGCTGGCCCCTGCAGGGCAGGATTACTTCAAACAGTCCAACACCCGGCTCTACTTTATCTCTCAGAGGGTCATTGACCTGAGCCTCAGATTGTATCAGGATCCTTCGGAAACCATCCGACAGATCTCAGAGCTGGGCCTGAAACACGTGGGCTTGGCCATCCCTACGGAGTTCTTTCCACCGTTTGTCACAGCAGCAACACACGCCCTGGCACAGGTCACGGACGTGGAGGCTGTCATCGAGGCCTTCCGCTGGTCCATCGCACTCATGGGACGGATCTTGGCCCGAACCGTCGTGGAAGGCCAGGACCAGAGTTAGAGAGGGTGTAAATTCACTTTCTTTTTCTTTGCCTTTTTTGTGTCACTTAGTTCAGGCTCTACGCTGGTCATGAGGGCCATCACCAGTGACGATGAGGTTCAGCTGAAGAAGGCAATGGCTGTGGCTCCGCGTGGCAAGCGGGCTTCTCAGCTCTTGAACCTAAGCGTCGGAACTCTGAGCATTTCCCCGTTGTATTGGGCCATTGAGACTGGGAGCTTGCAAGTGGCCCGTGCCATGATTGAGGCGGGCTCTGCGAAATCATTGTAAGATCATAGGGGTATATAGGGGAATTCAAAATGTAAAGGAATTATATGAGAAGACGATGGAACGATGTCGGGGTTATCTTTGTTGGATCATCCAGTAACTAGTTTTGCCATTCTCTTCTCCCTTCCCCTATATGTCCCGATGACACTTGCAAGTGCTTTTGTAGACAGCGCTTTCCATGCAAAACCTGGGCAATGGTGATGTTCTTCCTTCATCATCCTGACACAAAACAGCTTGTACAAGTGCAAATGCAAATCATATGCAGGGCTGCCTTAACCTGGCTTCCGCTAACCCAAATAATCTGCTCAAAGGCAGCTCGTAGAATTATTCAACTTCAATTTGAGAGCCCCAGGATCTTCTGACCATCCGTGCAGATCGGACAGTGTACTTCTATGGGTGCGATGCATTATTCAAGCGTCATCCTGATTTTCTGCATTACCTCATTGTTCATGCCCGTGCACTGGTCCCCACATTGCTGGATGGCTTGATCTGGCGTTCCCGTACAACTGTGGAAGGCGAGAGGCGCGTGAATTACTACGTGAAGCATTTGATACAAGATGCGGACGGGAACTTTAACCAGGCATTGGAATGGGTGGCTGAAAGCCAAGATACGCATCTGGCCTGTCATCCTGTGTTCTTGCTCGTGTCTGACACCGTTTGGAATGGGCTGGCCAGCCGGTTCTTCATCTTAGACAGGCTTGCCTACATGTTCTTTTTGGTTGTCTTCATGCTCAGCCAGTCATTCTTGCAGCACCTCAATGGCGGCAATCCGGACCTGCCCAGCCGAATAGCTACGTTTTCTTGCCGCGTGGTGGTTTATCTTGGCAGCATTGGGCAGATGCTCATCCAGCAGGCCAGGACTTTGTGGACACAGATCAAGAGCTTGCGACAAGGGAAGGAAGGCAGCATCACATGGTTCTGCATGGATATGATTCCTGTGCCCTCGTATTTGACGGATGTGCAAAATCTGTTTAAGTTCCTGCTGCTCCTTTTTCTTGTGCTGACTTGTGCTTTTGATCCGATGATCTGGTGCCTAGCCGATGGGAGCACTGAGCTGTTCCTGGGTTGATGTTTCGTGCAAATTTGAACATAAAGCCAATACCTTGGAGTCCTTGTGGTAATTCAACTTAATTCCTTCAAAGCAGCCCAGGTTCACGCAAAGCTGCGAAGCCGGAGAGGTTGTCAGGGACGCCTACTCGGCGTTGTCTATGTTGACGCTGCTTCTTTACTGGCTCATCCTTGGTGGCTTATCCATCCTGTCCATGCGGCTTGCAGCTTTTACGCTTGCTTGCACGCAGGTATTGGAGGAACTAGGGCTCTTCCTAGTTGCGCTTTTGTTCCTCATTCTTACGTTTGCTAGTTCCCTCAGCGCGCTGGACCACGGCAGCCCCTATTTTGCAAGCTTGCCCAAAGCTAGCCTCTCTCTCTGGCAGATTTCCGTTGGAATGTTCAATTTGGGCAGAATGGAAGGCCTGGACAATGATCCCATGCTGCTTCTTATGTTGGCAGTCTTCGTGACATTGTCCATTGTCTTTTTGTTGAGCCTGCTCGTGGCGCAGTTCCTGGGTGTGTTCCTAAGCAGGTATGAGGACATGATAGGCTACGCAAGGTTAAGGCGATGCAGCGTAGTCGTGAAGACTGTCCGGAGCTTGTCTACAAGGCGGTGGACTGAATTCCTCGAATCTTTGCAATTGGAGGAGCCGCTGGAGTTCAGTGAGGGTGACATTGGCTTTGCTGGAGGAATCCAGGTCACAGAGCCAGCTTTTGACCACCCAACCACAACAGAGACTATTGTGCGGTTTGGAGGCTCAGCATCTGCTTCTATGCCCTGGCCAGTGGATCCTCATGAATTCCAGGAGGATCCCTATGAGCTCTTGGAAAGGCAGATCCTACATCTCGCCAAGAAGTCCACAGTTCTGCATGACACGCAGAAGTCTAAACTAAGTGGCGGCTCGCAGCCATCACAGGCCAGCTCCAGCATCGCAATTTCTAGCGCTGACCAGCAGAGTGACGAGGGGAGTGGCTCCACTGATTAGCGTAGGATCTAGGTTGTTGTAAATATGCGGTCTGCTGCGAACATTGCTTTGCAGCGCGTTGGTGAAGCGCCGCCCAGGACTTGTGTGGCTGCAAGACTCGAAGTGTTGCTAACATCCTTGTGAGGAAGCATGAGCCCATGTCCAAGACATGCGCTCCAATTTGGCAATTACCGCTACATGAGGTCATCTTTGGAAAATGGATTGATCTGGATTGAGCAGTGTGCAAGGGTAGAGACCTTCACAAAGAACACGCTTGTCCATTGCCACGCCGACTGCTCAACACTTCATACTGCACCTTCTGACTGGCAGGTATACGCGACGTCTTGTGCGCACTATCGGGGAGTTGCACAATGAGCACGGGCGGCTGTTTTCGTTCTCTGGCCAGCCAGATGACATGCTTTGTGGTTTCAGACCCTCATTGGAGGTTGGTCTCTTTATCGGTCTGACATGCAGTAGGTTGGGGCACTGTTAGGTCAGCTGGGCCGCGGGATGCGAAAGCCGCAGAGCTCTGCGAGACCCTGTTGCCTGGCTGGCAGGTAAGTATGGTTACTTACAAGACCTCGCAAGCTTCAATGTGTAGACACACGCTGTGCCGCCCAAGGTGCGACATCGATGTGTTCTGTGGCACACCAGATAAACTTGTAGGCCATGCGAAAAAGACGCGACTTGTCTGACCATGCTTGTCAGCCTGTGTCACAAGTTGGCATGTTGTCAACAACATCAGGTCACGCTATTTCTTCAGTGCATAAATCATAAGGACCTCCTACTTCGACCGCCTGTGGCAGAAGGGTCAGCATCTGGACACCTTTCAAAAAGCATAACTTGGGGAAGTGAAATTGCGATCAGTTGCGTATGACGTTAGTTCGGCGTTAGTCCAGGATTTTCTTTTGTTGACAAGCCACTTGAATGAAAACGCATCTCGTCCTAACATGGGTTGGCACTGCCTGACCTCCGCCAAGGACAGGTACTACTTCATGGTTCACAAGGTTTGAGATCCATGCCGGTTTGCCTTGGCAGCCAATGGCAAAGCCGTCCGGGACACCAAACAAGCATTGGCATTGATGCTGCCATACATCCCTGACCTGAAGTCAAGTAAGCACCAATGAATTCCATGCATGTCCTTAGCTTAGCCCAGAAGGCTTGCCGTGGCGCACCTTAGTGAGCAGTGCCGTATCTCAAGAAGGGCTTTGGCCAACCTCTGGCTGCTTGACAAGCTGGCACTCCTGAGCCAAAAGGTCAGCTCTTGTTGGATAGCACAAGTGTCTAGCCTCGTCGTTCAAGCCGCCGCATCCAAGCCAGAGGTCATTGCCAGCAGCTGGCTCTCCGAGCGCAAGAGCAGGAAGAAGTCGAGCAGCAGATGATCAAGCTCAAGCATGCCGGCTCCCTGTGTCCGGCAGAGCTGAAGCCGCGACGTTGAAATCTTCAGGGTCTCCTCATAAGTTTCGTGCATTGCTGTGTGGTCGGGCTCGCAAGAAGGCTAGCAGTGCTGATGCCATTACTGCCACAAAGGTGCTGATATGTGCTTACTCTGTCAAGACATACCTAAGTCATGTGGACAGCTTAGTAGCAGCAATTCCTCCAACGTCAAGGAGCCATCGTCTAAACTCCTAAAAATGGGGTTTTCTGGGATTCATATAGGGGACTGCAACAGGGGTTGTGGAGGAGGATACTTGGAGTTTAGACTATGGCTCAATAGGGTTGCCTCTAAGGCCCACTCTGCCAGATCCGGCCTCAGGATTTTGGGGGCACAGCGCCCTCCAGAAGAGTCTCAAGGGTTTCAACAGGCTGTTTCTTTTAAATTTCCTTCCACTTTTGGTGTACCCTTGTCGGTCCCTTCCTGATGGGTTAAGATGGCTAAGTAGTGTCTGGTGTTAACGAGGAGTAGGGTTTCGGTCTGGATTTTTTTTGTAGAAGTCTTCATGAACCGCATACAGCACTTTCATTTGACTTACTGGTGGTGAGTAGGGAATGAGGGAATGGAACCCCTTTTTGAGCTATAGTCTAAACTCATTAAAGGGGGTTGTATAGGGGATCGCATAGGGGAGTATCATAGGGGCTATGAAGGGGGATACTAGGAGTTTAGACTACGTATACTTCTTGAAATCCCTAAATAATGCATTCCCTCATCCCCTACTAGCCACCAGTAAGTTGAAGAGACCATGCTCCCTGAGATTACTCATGCTCGCAGTCCCGAAGTAGCATCGCCCTACTATTATGGCGTATCTAGATGGTTTTAACGTTCTTGTGCAGCTTCATATGATGTCTTACTGAACCGGTGCGTCCTTCGAAGACAGTGTAGGGTGTTTTGGACTTGTTTGATCATCCTGGTTACTGTCCAGGAGCCTGGTAAGTTACCAACATCTAGACACACGCGCATGTACAAACAAATATACAATGTGTCTACACGCACACCTACGTATCGAATAAGCGCATTCCCCAGTAAATGCAACTTAGCTTAAGCTCCTTGACCGCAGACGGGTCACAGTAAAAAGCCTGGCATTTCAAAGAGGCCTGGCCCGCCAGCGCGAGATAGAAGGCCTGCGTCGAAGCGAGGCCGAAACCCATGAGGTCCTGTGCTTAGGTCGGGATGGGACCTTTAAGTTCTCAAAACTGTCTGTCTCTGGGTTTTCAAGGTAAGTTTTTGTTCCTCTAATCTAAGAAGCCCTTACTTGCATGGATGCTTGCACGACCGCTTACCGGAGAATCCTCGTAAGACCTCTAAATCCACATTCGTCCCCAAACCCCTTGTCCGGAACAAAGGAGGGTAAAGCTGACAATGCTGACAGTACATAGAAATCGTGACAGTTCTGACCAAAACAGCTCGGCAACTGCGGCCAAGGCAATCATTATAAAAAGCACGGAAGTAATCGTTATATCTGCTGCAGCTGACGTCTGTATTGCCCTGCAAGTGGTTGAAGGAACCACGAATTTCTTGCGAGCTGATGCATTTGTAGCCACGTGGCCCAAGGAGAATGATGCCAGGGGAAATCAGGGAGGCCTGCCCTCCTAAGCCTTCAAAATTGTGTGTTGGAGGCCATGCTTTTCCTTAGGCAGCCTTGCAATGTCATCCAGGGAGACGGTACCTTTGAAACGGCCTTAGCGCTTATGTAGAAACTGATTCCAAAATGGCCAGAGCCGGACCTCCTCTTTTTGTTTCTCCAAGAAACGGTCCTGAAGACCTTAACCCCAATAGGGGTTGTATGCAGATAACGGAAAAGAAAATGGAAACTGCTACCTTGTAACCCTAAACCCCTTGTATATTGGGATTAGGAGCTGCAGAGGAGGTGTGGATCCACGCCTGCCTTGCAAAAGAATTAGCCATGAAGTGCCTCCCTGCTGCATGTGCTGGGGTGCCACAGACGGCAGCGCGTGGCAGTATCCATCACCGGCTGGCTCCCTGGACCAATTGGGTGTGCCCCGCCCCGACCTGATTCCCTGTGCGCATGGTTTGTCTCACCCCGACCTGATTCCCCATGCACATGGTGGAAAAGTTAAACTGCCTGTCAGGTAGAGCAGACGGCAGCATCACATGTCGCTGGCGTGGTCTCCTCGTCCTCCTCAAGCCAGTTTCGAGCTCGCCTTAGGCATTTCGCAGCTTGCGACGTGGTTGATGAGAGTCCTGCTCTGTTTCTATATAGTAGCATCTGACCATCCGCTGCGAAGCTTGACACTTAGGATTACCATTATCAACGTACACCAAGCTGGCGAAAGCCCCTGCGCCATCGAGACAGTCTCGTACAGTTCACCAAGGATCCTGAACCCGATAGCCCCTACACCCAAAAAAGCACAGGGCAGCGGGGCTCGTTACAATAGCAGGTGATTCTTTGGATGCACGTAGGGCCTTAGCTAGGTGTGACGACCTGTAGACGCTGAATACCCTAAACCTTGTAGCTTCCAGACCATGCACATTACATTGAACAAGGTTGCGCAGCATTCGTGCAAAACACTGCAGGACATTTCCGAGGGAGGATCCGTGCGAAACTGGGAAGATGTGCTGGCGCTGCTTACGTTGCTTCGATCGATCCGACTTCAACCAGATGAGGTTTGGCTGTTGCTATGACCGGGCCAACTGGTTGGTGGTTTGCTTCTTAAGTCAAGATCTCATGTTGTTTTCATCGCAGCGCTTGCTGACTTTTCGTTGGCCCAATAAGACGGCCCGTAGGTTTGAGACAGCCATAATTGACATAATGTATTGTCGTTGTTTGAATTACGGGTACCATGTTGAGTGTTGACCCGTACAGGTAGCGCTCTATTTTCATGACTGTGATGCTTTCCCTGCATCACGAGATAGAGGAGTCGGAAGACAAGATCCCAGCATCGCAGGAGGATGCAGGAGGTTTTTCCGTTCGGGCTCGTTGCCAGAGGGAATCTGCATTCGATATTTGCTAGGAAGCAAAGCAGCTGGATGACAACGAGCCTGAAAGCGGTAGAGGGGTACAGGGCCACAACTTTGAGGGCTTATGTGTGTCCAGGCATGCAAAACTCATGGTGGGGCTTTTTGTAGAAAAAGGGTTTTCCCAGAAGCAGAAGGATCTCGTGCACATGTGGGCCACATACTGAAAGACCCTTATTAGCCCCTTGTACCCGTTAGACTAATGGATGACACGTTCCACACAAATATCAGCGGTTCCTGGGAAACCGCAGGTCTACCCACAAAACCCTCAATTTCTCTTTAAAACCCTATATATTCCAAGTTCCGAGTTGATTTTTCATTATTGGGCCCCATACATCCCTATATGGTCGTTTCCATTTCACTTTCCATGTTCTTTTCCACATGATTCTCCATGATTGGGCCCCTACAACCCCTAGACAAAATTGAAGCAGGTCTTTTTTGGCGCGGCCCTCGGTCGGTTTCTCTGCTGCCATTTTGGCCTTTCATTCGTTCATGGGCCCCTTGTGGTGTTTGCTTGGTGGACAGTGCGTAGCAGCAGAAGTGGGGTCGTCATTACATGTTCTTCAGGGACTTCAGGGTGGCTGAATTTTGTACGAAGGATGCAGTC